GTAGAGTTTCTGGCAGTTTTAGCCATCAATCTCATTCAGCTGACTGATGGAGGATGCAGATGAAGGACAAGGAATCCAATTCAACAAAATCAACAACTTCTCTCACAAAATTCCCCAGCTTTGGGAAAAAGCTCAGCTAACAGGTCTCCTCTCAAGCTAATAATGTCAGATGGTTTCCCAAGGAGGTACAAAGAAATGAAGAGGCACCCCTCTGCCTCTTCACTCAAAGACCATCCAATGCCCCGTGGTGCATTTTCAGATCAAGCTGTTCCTTTATCCAACTGCCCTGCACACTCAGTCTTCCAGATATTACAAACATTTGCATAGCTCTTACAAGACATACCTGTGCCACTGAAGTTGAAGTGCAAGGAAGGAAAATTATGCCAGTAATGAGGGATTTCTCATTTTCATTACTTCCCCTCCTTCTTTCCAATTACGTCCAAGTAATACAGATTGACTGCTGGCAGTATCACTAGTGCACCAGGCCAGCAGTAGTCATTAGTGCAGAGCTTCCCAAACTGTGGTCCACAAACCATCAACAGCAGCAAAGCCAGAGCAAGAGACCCACAGCTGGTCCCTGGAATCAGATTAAATACATTCTTGGTTTTTTCCACACAGATCCTAGTGCACTCACTAGTGCTACCTGCCACTTCCTTGGCTCTGTGTTTCCATATATTTCAGATTTGCACTTTGTGTCTCAGAAGCCAAGATACATCATTCTCAGGGCTGTATCAGTTGGCATTTTATATGGACCAAATGGTAAAACAAAGCAAAGTGCCTTGCTTCATCTCTTTAGGCAGGAAGGTGGAAAGCAGAGCCCCAGCTGCTCACCCCAGCCATAGTGTGTCCAGCAGATGGCAACTCCCAAGTTTTCAAGCTACAAGAGGATATTCCCCGGGTCTTTGGGAGCCTACCCGCTGGAATTAGAGCTTTCACATACCATTTTGAAGACTTTGACTTCTTTATAGTGCATACAACTTCAGTATGTTTTAACAATGGAGACACATGCATAGAAATGATTATTATTTATCAAACTTACCATTAAACTCCTTTGTCTCCTTTTTGTTGCTGTCTCCTCTCTATAACTAGTCTTCTAACAACAGTATTTTGCAAATTCTGTGCTTTACTGAATTTCTCTATTGGTTAAAACATTACCTGAAGAGTCAGATGTAGGTATTCAGTTTTTTGATGGGCAAATAACTACCAACCTAGCTAGTTTTCTCTAGCACAGGATCTCTTAAGCAAGAGCCACTGGAAACACAAGTACAGTTCTGTGCATTTCCTTTTTTGAGTCTTGGAGGTTTGGAAGCTAGAAGTCAAAGAAAGTGGGAATGCTGGCATAAGCCAAGGGGGATTAAGGAGATGACTTTTTTCTTTCTATAGCACTCTCTCAGCCCTTAGGATATATCCTACCTTTTTTTAACAAAAAAAAAGAGAAGGCAAGCAGAGCCTTGGATTACAAGCACAGAAAGAAAATAGTTCATTTTACCGACTGTCATAAAGAAACTCTGCATGTTTGGAGGACAGACGGTGGAAAACAAATGTTCTTCCCTGGGTATTTCACAGTGAAATACAAATATTTCTTTATGAAATAAAAATATTCTGCTTCGCGATCATCTGAAGTGATCTCTAGTCTCAAGGGTTCAGCAATTCAACAGAAGAAAATCGAAGTCTGTAAAAATGAATGAAGTCAGGCAAGTATTATGTATCAGGTGACAAAAGTTATTTCGGGAGCTTACAAACTAGTGCAGTGATACAATGATGGCTCCTCTGCATCTGGCAATATTCCAGGAAATGGCCTCTGAATGGCAATTCCCATTAGAGTGGCAGCACTGCTGTCTAATAATGTTTTGTCCATGTTTCAGTACCTTAATACCCCAGAGTACTTGCAAATGTACCAAAAGCAATTTGTGCAGGACTCTTCATGGAGAAAAGAGCTATTCTAGGACTATCAGATTTTTTTTCTCTACATTAATAGCTGCTGATCTGCTGTACCAATGGACTGATTCAGCACCAACACTGACAAGGCACCTCAGCCTCTGACACTTGTGAAGGAGCTTTGTGTTCCCTTCAACCGTCAGAAAGGGGAGAAGAAATTTGCTCTGTTTCCACAGTTATACGACAGCTTTTAAAAATTTTACAGCATGAGCGCAGCACCTAATCCAATAAAGCTTGCCAGGAACATTTAAAATCAAGGCCTTTGAGATTTTATTTCCTATAAATTCACCAGACTTATAAGAAAAGGGTCTTTTCCTCAGAAATGCAGCACCAATCCCACTGGAGTTGCACAGGGCTGAGGACTATTTTTCTGCCACGCTGTGCAAAAGATAGCTGAAAGTACTGGGAAATAGGCTGTAGGGATGCACAAAATGGACTGGAGTTAATGAATAGGAACAGGAAGAAGAAAATGAAAATATGATTTCTGAAGGAAATCAAAGCATTTGCTCAAAACAGAATAAAAAGCAGGAACAACCTATAACAGGCATTTAATTCATTTAATGCAATGACTGCTCTCTATACATGGAAATAACTGTTTTTTTCATTTGGAGGTCAAAACATGAAAAAAACAATTCCTCTTCCTACTTACTATTGTCTGTCACTAACCAACTACCTAGAGAAGGGTGGAGGGGAAAGGTGGAGACAGCAAAACTTCAGTGAGCACGTATGCAAAGAGAAATCCTGCCTTCTTGCAGAGATGCTTCTCCTTTAATTTCACAAAGTAAAACATGGTAGATAACTGAAACAACTTGAAAAACAAAACAGCAGCAGCAGCCTGTAATTGTTCCAAGATTTTTGATCACTAGAAATGGAAATTTTTTTCTGCTTTTACTAAAGATAGGTCAGCTTAAGCCAGTACTTTTTAAAATCATCTCTTTTTAGTTACTGTCTCCACTGTGAAAAGGTGAAGAGCTGCATCTGTTATAAGTACATGCTGTGCAAACCTCATTTGGACATGACCATCATCAATCACTCCTGCTGTGCAGGTAGCATGTGAAAGGGGAACAAAACAGAAATCGTGCTGCAGTATTTGACACCACCCACTCCCCTGCTTGTATGCTTTAGTTCACAAAGAGCCCAGTTGGCTTATGGTTATTCTCTCCTTCTGGGACCCCTGTTTTTTCTCTCCCTCCAAGCATATGAGAATAGCTTTGATGGTTTCAGGGGAAAGACAAAAACCTTTCCTTCTCTCTCAAAGGATTAAGGCTTTCCTACTGAAAAGCATGCCAAAGATATATTATTATGTGCCATCTTGCCTTTGTAAATACACACACATTACTTGCAGCAGTACTTCTTCTTATCATATGCGTATGCTTCAGTGGAAGATGAATATTGTAAAAGAAGTCAGAATGCAGCGAGTATCCTTTGTGGCAGTGCCATGCATAGTCCTGAAAAGAGCTATTAACGCTAGCATCCTATTGCATTTCTCTAGCACACACTTCAACTAGCTGTCAGTGCTATAATCTTGACCAGGGACAGTCAGTAGAGGCACAAGGCTTTAAAAGAGCAAGAAAGATAGTGTTTGTCTTTGTCAGAAAGGTCTGGAGTAAGCTGCAATAAATATTAGACAATATTTAGGAATGCAGAAGCAACAGAGTCAGAGTTGAAAGACCGACTGCAGTCTTACCAACACTCACTCTACCAGCTTATCTAGGGTATAAAGAGAGCACCCTCCTTGTGTTTCATAGCTCTGGTTAGTACCATGCCAATTCAGTGGATTTGCACTAGTTTATCACATCCTGACTCCTTGGTATGACTCACGTCAGCAGAAGTTGCCTGTACTTTGTGTTTTCTGATGCACCAGCACTGCAGCATGCCTGGTTTTAAACAGCTGTACAGCAGTGCACACTAGAGAACAGCTCTTTCCATCTCACTCCTAGCCCTCCATGTACCTCCGACAATTCATGAGAGCACAGACAATCAGTAATACAGACATGGTAACATACAACTGCAAACACACACCTCTTCCTTAAGTGCCAGGACAGAATTGGTGTCACTTCACAATACCCCTTATTTCCCTCAGCATGTTAATAAACCACTCCGGAAGAACAAGGCATTTAAAGGCACCTCCTGAGGACCTTGCAACAGACCCTTCCACATACGAATTTGGACAGAAGACTTTGAACTAGAAACCACTTCCTCCCCTCCCCTAGCAATCACACTACTCCCTTTTCTACAACACAAACATCACTTGTAACCTAAACCCCCCACTGAGCTTCTTTAGTCTGTGTCTACAGCCTATGCTCCATGTCATGGCAGTGAAATGCCCAACCACCCCGCTGTTGACAGCCACCTCATTTATTAAAAAGATGATGCAGAGATGCACACCCATATGTCCCATCACGGTGTCCTGCTGACACACACATGCCTCACAGAGATTTGATAAGCTTTTGCCACAGAATAGCAGCCCCAGAAGAAATGAGGAGGGCTCTGGTCTCCCTCCACCCTTCAGAGCCATGTCTTCAGGAGGGCATGGCAATGCTAGGACCTATCACTGACTGGGACAGAGAATGATCACCTAGAGTTTCCTGATACAGGCTTTAATGTTGTGATGTACCAAGTATGCCATCTGTGATACAGCAATGGATGTAAGCATGTGCTCAACCTTAAAATCATGAATGGCCTCAGTGATTTCTCTAAGAGTATGCATGACTTTTGAGGCAAGAATATGCGAGAATGAAAGATCAGAGCAACAAAAGGAGTGTATGGGTCTCACTGGAACAAAGTGATGAAGGCATTCATGCAACTGGCCTCTAAATACACTCTTTTGCCTTGTATCACAGTTTTGAAACACAGCTGAAGGCCAGGAAATGAGAAGGTGAAGGAAACTCTCAGTAGGTTGTCCACACAAATTAATGAGGGCACTGAAAGGGTAGCCTAGGCACCACTTTGTTCAACTTCCAAGTTTAAACTTCTAAGTTTAAAAGCAGCAACAAGTTCACCTTCCATCTCAGTAAGCAGACACAAATGCAACCATCTCACAGTTTCAAACATGTACTCACCCAGAAGAGAAGGTTGAAGACAAACATTAGGTACTTGATACACTGCAGGCAGTTGTGAGCCATGCTGCACCTCTTCAGTTCTAGGAGAAAAATAAACGAGAGATCCAGGTAAAAGACAACGTACTTGTTTCCCTTGGGGGATGTGTACTTAGCCTTGGTGGCCTTAGGGCCTGGGTTGGTGTGGAATCCAAAAAAAGAGTTGCTGGCAGCCCCAAACTGGCCACCATACATGCTGCTGTAGCGACGAAAGGCGCCATTTGGGAAACTGTAATCCTTGCTGTCCAGGGAAGGGCTCCTGTGATAGGTCGACTCATCGGTGCTAGACCTGCGCATGGTGGCTTCAGCTCGTCCTGTCGCAACTGCTGCTCTGACAATCGTTGGATGTCAATGGTGCAGGTGAAAGGTTTGCGATTTTCTTTCCTCCTCCTTGCTATGGATCCCCTATTGCTTTGCACCAGCTGTTCTTTTGTCTGCCATCCTGTCAAGGAGTTACATGTGCTGTACAGCAGCAAAGTTGGTGAACTGAAGTCTGCTTAGCCAGGAGTTAGGGAGCAGCGTGCTTCCACATGAGAAAGACTTCTGCACAAGTAAACATTCTCTCCGGTGTCACAATCGTCCCTCCCGGCCCACCCCACTACCAGAGAAGAAAAAAAGAGAGAGAGATATACTGTACCCAAAGAAATGAATTTTAAAAAAAGGAAGCGTGACCTTGCTTGGATCACAAATGCCATATAAAACCCCAGCTCCACATGCCACACACAGACAAGAGAGTGCCGCTGCACAAGACTCGTGGACAAGGGCAGGAATTATCCAAAAGACAAGCAGCTCCCGTGGCCCTTTCCTTTTCGCCACATTGCTCTGCTCCGAGACGCTCGGCTCACTTTAAGGATCCCCGTATCCCCTTCGTGCGGAGGAAGCCTGTGGCAAGACAGCCACGGAGCTCCATTCACAGC